TGGTGAACTAAAATTTACTCCCTATAATTTCTACACAGTTGTTCATTGTTCTGCTCCTTGGAGACAATACAGAATTTCAAATCCCTCTTCCACTTGAAAGCCCTGAAAAATATTTGACGGTAACCATTCTCATCTTCTCTCCTGCCACTCCTAAAGTGAGGGATCTAGACTAGATCAAAGATCTCCAGGGTACCCCCCACTCTAAAACTGAATGAAGACTGTTTCCAATTGAAAAGTCGATTTGAAAGACCAAATTAAGATTAGAAGAACATTGTGTACAGGGCATGTGGAGCAAAGGAAGAAGGAAAGAAGTATCATTTTCCACATTTTTAAGTTAGTATGAAAAAATATGTTTAACTGCAAACCTGAATTGTCGTCTATGCCATAAATCCCTATGTTTTGAGAGCAAATATGTTACTATATATTTAAAGGCTCTCCCGCAGTTCCTAAATCACTACATGCAGCATTTTTATTTCAAGACCTCCTTGACTGGTGGTTTCCCAATGACTGAGTAGATTTCTAGAGAAAGCATCAAACTAATTTTAGGTTCCTTTTGCAATGCAGATGAGTGTCTGGTCCATTTTTTAATCTCCCAAGTTGTCTCTCTTTCCCCATCCACATTAAAAACTTTTAAAGGTACTTAATTACCCCTTTAAAATATTAACAGTTTCAAAAAATTAGTTTCTATAGATACGTGCATGTAACATACACACAGTTATGTAGTAGAAGATGAATACAAGCCCAAGCTTTTATTTGCTTATTCATAAAGCAGTCAGTGCACTTTCTGGGGTTGAGAACAAAAGATTTATGGTGACCCAAGTCACCCGTTTGTGCAGTACTTTCCTAGTTTTAATTGGAAGTCCTGCATCCCAAGCCAACTGGGACAGCTGGTCACTTTAAATGAAGTACACCAATAATTAAACCACTGTATCTGGTGCACTTAACTAAAACATACTTGGTTCATAGGTAATATTGAAAGGTGTTTTCTAGGTTTTATACGTAGCGCTGTGAAATTAAGGAAAACCTAAGTTTTTAAAAATTCTTCAACAGATTAGTATTATGGAACAGATTAGAAATCCTGTTTAGCCTTATATAATTTTTATTTGCTGATAGTTAAGTGGAGCCCTGGTGGCGCAGTGGTTAAGAGCTATGGTTGCTAACCAAAAGGTTGGCAGTTAGAATCCACCAGCTGTTCCTTGGAAACC